AACATTGTTCTAAGAGTTCTCTAGCTAACGGAATAAGATTAAAAAAGAAAAAAAGGAAATAAAATGTATATTGACTGGGAAGGAAGAATTAAGACTATCTTTGTTGCAGATAACATGATGATTTATGTAGAAAATCTCAAAGAATTGTAAAAACAAAACAAAACAAAAATACTCAAAACCTCCTGGAACTAATAAGCAGTCTTATTGAGGTTTCTCACTGGAAAAGACCCTTATGCTGGGAAAGATTGAGGACAGGAGGAGATGGGGGCAAGAGGATGAGATGGTTGGGTGGCATCACTGACTCAGTGGACATGAGTTTGAGCAAGTTCGGGGAAATAGTGAAGGAAGGAAGCCTGACAGGCTACAGTCCATGGGGTTGCAAAGAGTCGGACATGACTTAGCACCTGAACAACAGCATTAAAATTTCAGGATTCAAGGCTAATATGTAAGTCAGTCATTTCCTGTATGCCAGCAATGAACAAGTAGAAATTGAAATTAAAAAAAAAAAAAACCATTAGCATCCAGAAAGATGAAATACTTGAGTGCAAATCTAACAAGATATGTAGATCTATATGAAAAAATCCTCAAACCTCTGGTGAATTAAAGAAGAACTAAATAAATAAAGAGGTGTTCCACATTCATAGATAAGAAAACTCAATATTGTCAAGATGTTAGCTCTTCCCTATTTGATCTGTGGATTCAGTGCAATCCCACCAACCAACCACCAATCCTTGGAATTTACCCAAAGGAGTTGAAAAAGTATGCCCACACAAAAACCTGCCTGCAGTTGTTTGGTGGTGGTTTAGTCCCTCAGCTGTGTCTGACTCTGCGACCCCATGGACTGTAGCCCACCAGGCTCCTCTGCCCATGAGATTCTCCAAGCAAGAATACTGGAGTGGGTTGCCATTTCCTTCTCCAGAGGATCTTCCGGACCCACATCTCTTGCGTCTCTTGCATTGGCAGGCAGGTTCTTTTCTGACTGAGCTAGGAGAGAAGCCGCAGCTGTATTTGTAATTGCCAAAACCTGGAAGCAACCAAGATGTCCTTTAGTAGATGAATGGATAAGTAAACTGTGGTACATCTTGTCAATGGAATACTATTCAGAGCTAAAAGAAACGAGCAATCAAGCCAAGCAAAGACATGGAGGAAACTTAAATGGGTATTAATGAATAAAAGAAGCCAGCCTGAAAAGACTGCTTAACGTGATTCCAACTGTATGGCCACCTGGAAAAGGCAAAATTTTGGAGATAGTGGATAGATCTGTGGTGCCAGGGATTAAGCAGGAGAGAAAGATGAATAGGCAAAACACAGAGGACTTTTAGGGCAGTGAAAATACTCTGTGTGATAGTCCAATGGCAGACATAATGTCATTTTACATTTGTCAGAATCTACAGAATTTAGACCAAGAGTGAAGCCTAGTGCAAACTGTGGACTTGGGGCGATAATGATGTGCAATATAGGTCATCAGTTCTAACAAATGTACCACTCTGGTGGGATGTTGATAAAGAGGGAGGCTATGCATGTGTGGGGACAAGGGCTTTATGAGAAAATCTGTACTTTCCTTTCAGTCTTGCTGTGAATCTAAAAATATTCTTAAAAATAAACAAGGGAGAATAGAGAGATGGATAAAATAATTTTAAATGTGTATGTCTTTTATTAAAATTAATTTACTTATTTTGAATTGTGCTGGGTCTTCAAAAAAATAAACAAGGGAGGATAGAGAGATGGATAAAATAATTTTAAATGTGTATGTCTTTTATTAAAATTAATTTACTTATTTTGGATTGTGCTGGGTCTTCATTGCAGTGCACGGGCTTCTCGTTGCAGTGGCTTCTCTCGTTGCAGAGCACAGGCTCTAGAGCACGCGGGCTTCAATATTTGCAGCACTCGGGCTCAATAGTTGTGGTTGATTACAGGCTCAGTAGTTGCAGCTCATGGGTTCAGTGGTCATGGTCCACAGGCTTAGGTGCTATCCACAGGCATATTCCTATCCACTGAGCCACCAGGGAAGTCCTCTGTTGTTGTTTTAAATTTGTCTTCACTGGGTCTTAGTTGTGGCGTGCAGAACCTATGACCTTTATTGCAGCATGCAGGATCTTTGGGTGCAGCTTGCAAACTCTGGTGGTAGCAGGTGGGATCTAGTTCCCTGGTCAGAGGTTGTACCCAGGCCCCCTGCATTTGTGAGCATGGAGTCTTAGCCACTAGACCACCAGAAAGGTCTCTGTTGTTTTAATAAGGAAAACTGAAAACAATATAGACATTTGTCAACAGAAGAACATGCCAGTACATCCTATACAGTTGTTAAAAAGACTGAAGTTGATAAGTACGTACTCATATGGACCGATATGCATGATTTGTTACCAGAAAACAGTATTGTTAAATGATATTAATATTTTGTTTTATTACATTTCCAGTAATATTTTTCATAATAATTATCTCTGAGAAATAGTATCATTGGGAGCTTTTAAATATTTATCAGTCTTACGTTTCCTAGAATAGCAAACTGTCTGTTTGATCAAGAAAGTAATAATGAAAAAAAATGCTGACAGTTTCTGAAATTTTCTCCATGATTATGTATCTATTTTCATAAGAAAAACAAACGAACAAGAAGTTAAATTCACCTATGCAGGGACCTGAGAATTTTATTATATATGTATATCTTAACCCTAAACACAAATCTGCATCAGGTTGTTTTATTTTATATTCTGCCTGTTTCTGATAGGAATTAATGTACCTTTTGCCCAAGCTAAAGATCCTTTCAGTGTATTCAAAATAACATATACATGATAGGAATTCAGTAAACACTTGCCCAAATAGCAGTTGTCTTTAAGAAATACATTTTGTGTGTATGATAGGAAATTTGGGATGCTCTAAAGTATGGGGATGCTTTTGAACTGTGGTGTTGAAGACTCTTGAGAGTCCCTTGGACTGCAAGGAGATCCAACCAGTCCATCCTAAAGGAGATCAGTCCTGGGTGTTCATTGGAAGGACTGATGCTGAAGCTGAAACTCCAGTACTTTGGCCACCTGATGCAGAGAGCTGACTCACTGGAAAAGACCCTGATGGTGGGAAAGATTGAGGGCAGGAGGAGAAGGGGACGACAGAGGGTGAGATGGTTGGATGGCATCACTGACTTGATGGACATGAGTTTGAGTAGACTCCGGGAGTTGGTGATGGACAGGGAGGCCTGGCGTGCTGCGGTTCATGGGGTCGCAGAGAGTCGGACACGGCTGAGCGACTGGACTGACGTGAGCTAAGAGTGTGGGGCACAGGAATAGCTCGCTCGTGGGAAGCCTCGGGACACCACGGGGCCAGTTCAGTGCCCTGTGACGACTGGAGGGCTGAGGTGGACAGGGGTGGGAGGGGCCTCAAGAGGGAAGCAGTGTGTGTACATGTGGCTCATTCAGTTTGTTGTACAGCAGAAACTAACATTGTAAAGCAATTATCCTCCAGTAATAAATACAAATAAAGAATGGGGCCCAGAGCTGAGCTATTCTTGCCAGGGATTAAGGGTGGTCGTGAACCATTGCTCAGATACGTACGTGCCTTTTTACCCACACTTACAAGCTCCTTATGGGAAAACTACTTGACTTCTCTAAAAATTAGTCTGCTCTCTTCAGTTGTGAGCCTAGCTCTTCAGAAACCAGAAATGAATGTTATGCCACTCCTTGAAGGAATGATGAAACGAATTTTAAAAATGACAGGTTGCATAATGTTTTTACAGAGAAAAACATGGTGAAGAAAATCCATTTGCAGATAAGCTTCTTAAGGAGGGCTGGGGTCAATACCCAGAGGGACTTTGTTAAAGTGTTCATCCTCTCACATCACCTTGTACTTTAAGTTTGTGGCACCTATTGCAAAAGCAGTGTAACTATGTACCTCTGAAAAACCACAGAAACTATATGAACTCAGTAAATACCCAGATTGCGAGTCACGCGTCTGTGCGTCTGTCCTCCTGCCGCCTTTCTTGAAGTCATCAAGGAGTAGTTCTGAAAGCCTCCAGATGGTTTGAAAAGATTCGTTGTTCTGTTTTTCAGTTCCCATAGAGACATCAGTTTGTTACTCTTGGCAGTTTTCCTTATATTTGACAACCTATTGTTTAAGAATATATGGAAATATACTGTTTAAGAAAATATGGAAATTTCAAAATTTGAAATGCTGCTTTCAGATTTTGCATTTGAAAGAAGTTAAAGGACTCAAAAACCTGGCTGGAACTTATATATCTTTGACTAGCTTCTACATATGGGTCTTTGTATATGCTGAGGTGAAGTATGCTAACATAAACACAAAATTTCTCCTCTCTGTGTCTTCACAAAGAGTATGTACAATGTGTTATGTAGAAACTGATCATTTTGAGTAAATTTGACACTGATACTAACCTCATCAGATTGGGAGACACCTTTTACATATTTGTTTTTTCACTGTTTTTGACCATCTTTTATATATCCATGTTTTCACTATTTCTTGACTCTCTACTGTGCCAAAGCACTGTGCCAGATACGCTGGGGACACAGGGATGAGTAAGATGCAGCCTTGAGAAGCTTGTTGTACTGGGAAGTAAGACTGCTATTGGAAACAGAATCTTTAAAATAGCTAACTTATTTTCCTAGTAGAGCATTACCATCCTTTTTGATCTCTGGCCAGAGACTTGCAAAATTTCAGCTGTGGTACCACTGAGAAAAAAAGTAATTTGAATCGGATTTACCTTCAAAATTGACCTGGATCAAAACTCTGAACTTGATCCAGTTTTCTTCTCATGTATACTAAAAAAAAAAAATCAATTTCAGAATTGTAAGGTTAAAAATTACGATAATTGCATTGGATCATAATTATGATTGTTACTTTTAAAGAGGTACAGAAAAGGCTGAGTTGATTGGCAAAATACTAATGTTAGAGGTAATTTAGTGATGATGTTTGCTCTATGCAATCCAGTTTTTACCAAACATGTTTATTCACTTAAAGAATTTCTTTTTGCTTAATATTTTCCTTCTCTTTTGTAGGAGTTTATTTTATCAGAAGATTATAACAAGATGACTCCTGTGAAAAACTATCAAGGTAGGAATGAGAGTCGTTTTCATTGCCTTAGACTGAAATGTTCCTTGATGGCTTCCATGGCCACAAGAGGGGACTTAACTTTACAACAGTCGCTGGGAACCAGAACACCGCAGTGCTTTGTGGTGAATATTATCCCAGTTTTTGAATCAAGAATCAGAGGCCCAAAGAGATTGGCTGACTGGGCTGCAGTCCTGTAGCTGGTAACTTGCAGAGCCAGTCCAGTTCCCGTGTGACTCCAGTACCCACGGCCTTTGTTCCTGGTCTCCCTGCTCCACCCCACTGCCTGCAGACCCTGCAGCACACTTGGAGAGTGGGGCTGCGCTTGGGAGTGAGCTGCTTTCACGGAGCTCATTTCATTTTTGGTTAACGGTTGTAAAAGGTTCATATTGTCTCAGGGAAGGCGTTCGGGTTTTATTGTGTCTTCAACATTGGCATTGTACCATAGACCATTTACATAGTACAGATCAGGAGCAAATTTTCACTAAGGAGTGTTTCCTTGAGGTCAACAGTGGCAGGGGCCAGAACATTAGAAGTAGACCTTGGAACACTTAGAGGTCATTTCATCCACATCTCGTGACCTCATTTATGATCATCCGGCCTCTCCTCTTGAGGTATCCTTAGACATAGCAACTCCTCCTGATTTTAGAAAATTCTCAGCATTAAGTTCTTCATTTCTAGATGTTGAGCAAAAATTCATTTCCCTATGGGTTTATTCTTTTTTTTTCCTTTAATAACTAGTTTTTTTTTTTCTTTTGAGCCTTTTATTTTGCGTTGGGGTATAGCCCATTAACAATGTTGTGATAGCTTCAGATGAACATCAAAGGGACTCGGCCATACATATACGTGTATCCCTTCTTTCCCAAACTCCCCTCCCATCCAGGCTGCCACATAACATTGAGCAGAGTTCCATGTGCTATATAGTAGGTCCTTTTTGGTTATCTATTTTAAATATAGCAGTGTGTACATCACCATCCCTATGGGTTTATCCTGTAGTGGTTTTTTTACGTATCACTGATCATTTATTGAGTACCTACTGTGTTCCAATAACTGAAAATTATAATAGTGAACAAGGCATGCATAGTATCCATGCATCCCCCATGAAAATAGAATCAAGTAAATCTAAACACAATTAAAGCAGATCAAATCCAGCAACATTTAAAAAGGGAAGTACATCACAAGCAAGTGAGGTTTATTCCCGAAAAGAAGTAAAAGCAGGGATAAGTGTTTGTATATCCATATCATAGCAGCCTTATTCACAATAGCTAAGAAGTGAAAACAACCTAAATAGTCACAGATGGATGAATGGATAAACAAAATATGGTTTATCAATACAGTGAGTTCTTATTTGGCCACGAAAAGAGAATGAAGTGCTGATACCCGTTATCATGTGAATGAACCTTGAAAACATGCTGAGTGAAAGGAAAGACCATGCATTGTGTGATTACATTTATATGAAACGTTAAGAATAGGAGAATTCATAGCCACAGAAAGTGAATTAGGGGTTCCTCAGGGATGGGGCTAAGGGGATTGGAGGTATGGGCTGGCGGTGACAGCATGTTCTGGAAATGGAACATTTCCCTTAATCATTGCACAACACTGTGAATAAACTGAAAATCACTGAATTATGCGCTGAAAAATGGTTTAAATGGTGACTTTTATATTATGTGGATTTTTATCTCAATTACCATTTTTTAAAACAATCACTTTTAAAACAAGTGATGCCAAAAACAAAGACATTACAAGAAAGGAAAACTACAGCCCTAATTCTCTCATAAACTTAGACGTTAAAGTCCTGAAAGAAATACTAGCAAATCCAGCAACCTGTAAAAAGAATTATACACGATGACCAAGTGGGGTTTATTCCAGATATGCAAAGCTGGTTCAATGAAAAGCAGTGTAATCCGTCATGTCAAAAGCCTAAAGAGGAAAAATCATAGGATCATATGAATTGACACAGAAAAAGCATTCAATAACACCTGACTCCCATTCATGATCTAAACTCTCAGCAAACTACAAATAGACAGGAAAATCTTCAACTTGAGAGAGAAACATCTATTAAAAAAACAAACTATAGCTAACATCATGCAGTTGACTCTTGTCCAACTGCAGATCGGGAAGTGCTCTGGTATTTACTGTTGAAACATATCTACATATAAGTGGACCCATGCAGTTCAAACGTGCTTTGTTCAGGGGTCATGTGTACTTAATTGTGAGAAACTAGATGTTTCCTCCCTAAGATGAAGATCATGGCCCCTATTTAACAAGTACAGCCAGGCTTCAAGCCTAGGTTCCTGAAGCTTAGCACTATGTATGTATCTTCAAATGGTTTCTTTTTGAATAAGAGAATTCTGTCATCTTAGAAAGAGTATGTGCTTTGAGTTTTAGGGTTTGTTTTTTGTTGGTTTTCGTTTGTATTTTCAGTAGTCATAGGCAGCCTGACAGAGAAAGAGAACCAACTTTGGCAGAGAGACTAGGGTTTTAATTCTATCCTTGTCACTCATTGATTGTGTAGCTTTGAGCAAGTCACATAAGATTTTTGAGTCTCTGTCTCCTCCTCTGACCCAGAATGGTAGCTTGGAGCGCTGCAAACCCCCTTATCTTCTGGGCTACTGTCATCCCCTTGGACTTAGAAAGTAACAGGAAGAAGATCAACGGCGCCTTCTTGAAAAAAGAGAGCAAGGCGCTAGGGGCCACTTTCTGCCTGAAATAGACTTGAAAGTGAACCATTAGAGAGTCCGCTTTTATTCCACCATTGGTGGAACTTAAATTGGGCATTCGATGACACAGACATGACAGGAGTTTCTCTAGGAAGTCCCATCTTTGAGTTTAAGGCAACGTTTTGATCTTGATGGTGGCCGATTCTCTGAAAGGCAGGTACTGTGTAGAGAAGTTACAGTATCATTGCTTCTATGCTCCTTCTAAATCCCTTTAGACACTCCAGCTTCAGATGTCAGATTTTTAAACATCAGGCATTTGGTGAAATGTCTGTCCCAGAGGGTTTCGCTGTGGTTCTGGCCTTACTGTTTGGTCACCAGTCTAGAAGGGCCGTCTTGCCAAGGCCAGGTTATGTGTGTAAAAGAAAGAGGCCCCCCAGCTTTGCAGAGTCATTACAGTGACTAAGTGAGAGAGTATCTTTCAGTCCTTGGCACTTGTTAGACGTTCAGAAATTGGCAGTATTATTGTTAAGAGCTGCATTGATCCATCCGTGTCTCGTCCTGTTTTCATGATGAAAATGGGAAGCTGATGTCTTCTCTGCCACCTCGTCCCGCTCAGGATGTCTCCTGTCACCCACCAGGCTGCCACCTCCTGGGCACAGGTAGCCTGGTGAGGCCCAAGTTCCGAGACTTCAATCTTTCTTTATTCCAGTCAGCTCTGTGCAGTGGCCATGGACACCCCCATACCTCTCCCCCTGGAATTGTATAAGAAGAAGAAAGCAAATATTTTACTGATTTTATTTGGTACTTGAGAAGCCACGAGACCTTGACCAAACTCCTCGACTTGATCCTGCCTCAGTTTGTCCGCATGTAAAGCAGGAAGAAGGGGTCGAGGATGTGAATTGTGTCTTCTGACTCTGAAACTGTGTGATGCAATACTTCTGTGGTGGTGGTGCCCTTATTTCTGAGTGACCCTGGGAAATTGGCTCTCGTTATCTCATTATGTATACTTTGATGTAGGGGATATTTCATTCTTTTTTTTTAATGTGGCCCTTGAGAATAATTCTGCTGTCCTTTCCAAGCTCCAAGCATTTGATTTGTCATGGAAAATTCATCTAGAACTTTGTTGTGGGTTTAAAAGCCAGCCTTCATCAAAAGGAGGACAGTAATGCTCTTTGCTTTTTTTTCTTAAGCTTAAATAAACTGACCCAGTAACTTACTGGGAGAGCATCGTTCCTAACATGTTTTTGCAGTTGCAGTGATCTGGCTGTCTCTAGACCAGCAGTTCTAACAAGTGTAAAAGAGGTGGCCCCTGGCCCTTGCACTATGGAAACATTTTCTTATAGGATCTCCGATGTGGTCTTCTCCAGGGGCAGGGCTTTACCCCTGATGAGAACCACCGCTCTAGCTTGCGTTTGCCATGATATCTACTGTTTAGTTTACGCTGGGGCAGGGGAGGAGACAACCTTGCCCCTCTGTGGACCACGCCTCGTTTAGGATGCTTGATGGGTTGTTTTCTTGTCTCTTGGTTTCCAGCGCATCAGAGCCGAGTGACGATGATCCAGTTTGTCCTGGAGCTGGAGTGGGTGCTGAGCACGGGACAGGACAAGCAGTTTGCCTGGCACTGCTCCGAGAGTGGGCAGCGTCTGGGAGGTTATCGCACCAGTGCTGTGGCCTCAGGCCTGCAGTATCCTTTGCTGGACAGAATCCCTTGGTGGGAACTTAGCTGTTGACTTCTTTCTTTCATGGGCATTCTGGGTATGTGCACCTTGAAGGTTTTGTGTTTTATTTGCTGAGTTGCCCTGCTGATTAAGATGCTTATAAACCGTCCTAACATGTAAATTGTCAGGGGTCCTCACATAGGTGGGGTAAATCAATTTCATCTGAAATAACAGTCTGTGCTGAGCAGGTTGTGGGTCTGCCATGAGCAGAGTCTGACATCTGCATAGCACACAGCCCAGATTTGTGAGCCTCAGCCGTCAGAAAGATTATGGAACACGGAGATAACGCTGTCACTGAATTACAGGCTTTTATTTTTGTACAGAAATAATTTACACATAGGTATTAAGGTTGGGAACATTCGCATTTTGGTGCCTGGCAGAAGAACCACAGGATCCCTATTCATTTTAAGAATATTTATTGAGAAGCTACCATGCTGGGACCAGCGTAGGCTGACTGAACACAGTAATGCTATGTACAAGTCTTTGTTCCAGGTACCAGATTTTTCCAGAATGTGTAGAATGATACTAACTCTTATCTCCAAAGCTTCCAGGGTCCATGTGCTCACTGTGCATACCTGCCAATGATGGGTGATCCTCACATCCAGCGCTCTGGGCACCAGTGAACACGGGCCTGACAAGTGTGAGACCTGGATGGGTGATGTTACCATTGCAAGAAGGAAGGGGCCCTGAGTTTCTTCTTTAAAAAGCATAGAATCTCTCCCCCTTCTGACACACGAGGAAATAGTTATAAACAGATTACTTGTCTGCAAAAGCTGGATGAAAGAATAAGACTTTCTTTCAGATTTTCATCTCATATTTATAAAATTCCTATTCAGTAATTTGCATCTGACAGAGTACCTTGCTGTTTCCTTGCAGACATGTGGCAGTTGTGTTGTGTGTGTGTATGTGTGTGTTTAGGCTAATGTCACTCTTATTTTCCTACTGAAAGGGCAAGAGGAAGAAACTGAGAATGGCCATATGGAAAGTTTTAAAAGTGGCAAGTTACCAAGAAGACCAGAAGCAAGGGTGAGGAGGAATGGAAATCAAGATCGACTTATCTTTGAGAGGGTGGTTAATAAAAGAAACTCCATGCTTTACTTACTGAAAAGCCAGTTCAGACAAGCATAATGCTTGAATTGAAGTACATGATCTCTCCTGCCAGTAGATTAATGATTTCTTGTAGTGCTCAGATTAGATCTCCCTGAGAGATCATCCATCCAATTTCTCATTTACAGATGAGCCAGCTACAGCCCAGAGTGGGTCACGTGCCTCTCTCTGCAGCCCCCCAGCTGGTATCAAGGAAAATCACCACCACAACCCAGGTCTTCTGCTGTGGACTGCTGGGTTTTCCCAGCAGTTAAACTGCTTTACCCTTTTGAGAAAAGAACCAATGGCATCAATATAATTTGTTCTTAACATTCTGGCTTCTCTCTCACTAGCCAGGCCTAGTGATGTATCTTCTGTATCACGTAACCAAGCTGGGGAGCATAGAAACAAATACAGATCTTGCCCTTATGAAGTTTATTTTTTAAACTATCTGAAAATGGTGGGGGAGGGAACCTATAAATACACAGAATTAAACTTGTCCTGACTTACTATAGTCTTTGACTCGTCTGTTCAGGCATCTCCAAAGGTCATCTTCATTTTTCAGCTGTTTCCTTTGGTCACACCATGTGGTTTAACCAGGCAGAAAAAAATCATGTGATGGGCTAACAGAAGCTTTGATGTGTGGTGAAGGCCCAGGCTTCCTTCCCCCATGCAAATGACCATCCAGTCCAGCCTTGGAAGGGAGCGCAATACTGCAGAGATGCCCTTCCAGAAAACTCCTCCCGCCTCCCTAGCTCCAGTTCCGGAGTCACAGTGCCAGCCCTAGCTCCTGGGAGCCTATATTTACCTGGTATTTTCCCAGTGCCATGCACTGATGCATAATGATGCTGAATTTGCCAGAGAGTCTCAGCCTAGAACCATGTGACTTCCCCAGGCTGCAAGGCTTTTCCTGGGAGCTGCCTGGTGCGTAGATTGTTAATAAGCAACCCATACAGCATTGGAGTTCACTTGAAATCCAGTTTTTAAACCCATTTGTTTCATGGGACCCCCCTCCTCCACCACCTCGCCCCCCCCCCCTTCTTTCTGCTGTCTTCTATACTTACAGGTTTTTTGGGGGGGAGTGGTTAGTGATAATGAAGATCTGTTGAAACAACTTAAGATGTTCAGAATAATATTATGACCCCCATTTCTCTTCATAGTGGACGCTGGTGGTATAGATAAAAATCTACATATAAATTCATTCTCTCCCATCTGCATCTTAAACAGTCATTCAAACAAGCCAACAAGTGACAGAATAAGTCAGAGGGAAGATAGCCTTTTTCCTCTTCTTTCAGGCCTCTTTGTGAAGTAAATATGCAATGAAAGTAACCAAAATTCAAGTAGAGAAGCAAAGGATGTCAAAACGACTGACCAGTTCACAAATTGAACTATCAGTTTTGAAATCACCTCAAAATCTTTGTTGCTTTGGCTGAAGATCTGACACTTCAAGTATGAAGTGAACTATCATATTATGTGTATGTGTTCAGTCGTATCCGGCCATTTGCAGCCCCAGGGACAAGAGCCCACCAGGCTCTTCTGTCCATGGATTCTCCAGGCAAGAATCCTGGAGTGTGTTGCCATTGCCCCCTCCAGGGGATCTTCCTGACCCAGGGAGCGAGTCTCCTGGGTCTCCTGCATTGGCGGGTGGATTCGTTACCACTAGCACTACCTGGGAAGCCAGGCTATCATATCACCAACAGCAACAACGAGAATAATAATAAGGAAGCGAAGGAGAGGAAAAAGAAGACAATACCTGATACTTGCGGTCCTTGAGTGTTCACCTAGCGCTTCTACATGATGTTACGTTGTTCCCTAGCAAAACATGAAGACCTGATTCTCAATTTTCAGAGTAGAATGCATCACAGAGGCTCAACAGGTTAAGAGACTTTCTTGAGGTCACATGACTGTTACCTGGCAGAACCAGGATTAGAACTTGGGTTTTTAAATCTTTGAGCTAGCCCTGTGCACAATGAGATACAGCAGAATGGAGCTATTTCCCCAAGGTCCCACAGCAGGCTGACGTAGGAAATAGAACTATTTTCCTCCCCCACTTCAGTTACCCATCTTTACATTTATCTAGCCTCATCCTTCATTCTGTCATTGGACCAAGTTTTGGTCACATCTGGTCATGCTTCCACAAAAATAATTTAGGTACTCTGCATCTTAAGAATTTCCCCATGTTGGAGATATTTCCAAGGTACCACCCTCTTCTGTTTATTCCTAGTTGGGGAAAGAGTACTGAAAAGCTATTAAGATTATCTTGATTTTCATATTTCCTCATGTCATACTAAATGCCAGTCACTCTGGCTTTGAGGTTTTACAGTTTTATTTTTGCCCTCTTCCAAATAGCTTGTGTTGCATCCATATATGTGAGTGAGGAGTGAATGAGTGAGTGTGTGTGTGTGTGTGTGTGTGTGTGTGTGTGTATTATTTTCCCAAAGTTGTGAAGACTTGCATCTGTTTTTTCATCTGTGTCCTTATAATTAATCAAGATAATTAAAGTTTAAGGTGATTTTATTCTTTGTAAATCCTAATATTGTTTCATGTATATCTAATAACTTTTCTCCCTATTCTTGAGACCAGAAGAATTTGTTATAGCTTGTTCTCCTTCACTTAAAAAAATGTCTTAATATGAAAATTTTAAAACACGTATCAAATTGAAGAAGATAGTGTGGTGGACACCCATGTACTTTCTGCTCCAATGCACTGTGGGTCTTCTCTCCCTTTCTGTCTCTTTTCCCTGGAGTAGTTTAAAGCAAATTCCAGACCTTAGGTCTTCTTATCCTTACATACTTCATTATGCATCTCAGAAATATGAACCTTTTCCCACAGTGGTGTCATTACTCCTGAAGTTTACAGTCACTCCTTGATAATACTGCATAATTAATACATTTTCAAATTTAACTTATGTTTCAGAAGTGGCTTTTTGCAGTGGATCTGTTTGAAATCAAGTCCAGAAAAGGTCCACACATAGGATGTGGTTACTGCATTTCCTAAATTTCCCAGTCTTCCTTCAGATTTTTTTTTAATGCCACTGTACCTTGTTGAGGGGACCGAGTCAGTTCCCCTCGAGAGTCTCACGTTCTAGAGTGACCTCTGCTTCCTCGTGATGCCATGTAACTTCTTGTTCTTCCCACCTTTTCCCCCCATTTTTCTGTAAACTGAAAGTGGCCTCTGATATCTTGATTCAGTTCAGATTCAGCTTTTGGTCAGAACACTTAGTTGTGCTGTGTGGTTCATCCTGCTTCTCAGCGGGAAACACAGCCTGTCGGGCCATCACCCTTCCAGTGACAGATAGCAAGATTGATCGGTGGTTCTGTGGTGACAGTGGGGTCCCTGCAGGGCAGTCTTCCCCATCAGCCTGTCCTTTAGTGGTTTCATCCACTGCTTTTCTTTTCCCAAATCCAGTCCTTTCATTAGGATTGCAAAAGGGTGATTTTGTAATCCTTTCATTTTTTTTCTACATGTATTAGTTGGATTTCTTCTATAAAGTAGAACTTTCCCTAATTGACTATGGCTGTTTGGTTATCCTGAAATACAATCAGTACAGGAAAAGCAATGTGAGTTCTTAATTATTTCTCTTTAATTGCTCATTTTTAGAGCAGACAGTTAATGCCCTGGTTACCTTCAGTAGAGATTTGTGTTTTGAGCATTATTATAAACTCTTAGTTTAGTTTTTAATAATATATTCATTATATTTCAGTAAACTGCTCCCCTTTTCCCACTTTCTTTTTAAAATTTTTTTAAAATTTTCTTTTCTTTTCTTGTTTGTGCTGACCAGCTTGTGAGAGCTTACTTCCCTGACTAGGGATCAAACCTGGGTCCTTGGCAGTCAAAGTGTGGAGTCCTAACCACTAGATCGCCAGGGAATTTGCTTCCCCTTTTTATTTTTTTTTTCCTGATGCTCATGTTGTCCCATCTTTGGCCAATAAGAGCCACATCATATTGGCTCCTGTGTCTTTTTGATAGACCCCCACTCGCCTTTGGTAGCATTTTTGTTTTTTGATGCAACATGTTTTAAGCTCGTCTGGTATTTTCCTGTTCCAGGAAAATTTTCCTGTTCCTGGAATCAGCCATTTCTCTTAGTGAGGAACAGCACTCAGAGATAGCTAGGAAGTACGTGTATGTGTATTTTTAAAAAAGAAAATAAATCATCAGTTCATATAATATTTTAAATTCAGATTTCACCTTAGAGAGTTATTTCGTTTTTGTACTTGATTCTTTTGTCTTGGGCTAAAACCTTAGTTCCTAAGCATCAGCGTAATTCCTTACTCTGCTCTATCCCATGGTATATTTAGGGCTTCCCTGCTGGCTCAGTGGCAAAGAATCCACCTGCCAGTGCAGGAGACGTGGGTTTGATCCCTGGGCTGGGAAGCCCCCTGGAGAAGGAAGTGGCAGCCCACTCCAGTATTCTTGCCGGGAAAATCCCATGGACAGAGGAGCCTGGAGGGCTACTGTCATGGGGTTGAAAAAGTTGGACATGATTTAGTGACTGAACACCAGCATGGTATATTTAAGTTGTTTCAAAATAATGATACAGTATTATAATAACAGGACCACTGAATGAGATTTTAGGTTTTTTTGTTGGTTTCTTTGTCCTGAGGATATATTCCACCAAGAATATACAGTTAAAATGCTGTGTTTTAAAGTGACTTGAAATAATTATGTTAGCTCTGTGGTTATAACAGGAAGTTGATAGTAGCTTTATTCATTTTTCTTTGTTTTCAATTTGGGGGATTTTTTAAAAATTATGAATATTTTTCATATGTAAAATAATTACAAGATTCCATCATGGAAACAACCTGATGAGAGAAAATTCTTACTACCACCCTTGTCTACTCAGCTTTTTTCTCCTCTCTCCATAGGCAGCCGTTTAAATATTTTTTTTAACTTTTAAACTTAAAAAATTTTTTTAGTTAAGTTTTTTAATTAAAAAATTTCTTTTTTCTTTTAGTTTGGGTGTGCCAGGTCTTAGTTGTAGCACTCAGAATCATTAGGTGTGGCATGCAGGACCTAGTTCCCTGATCACAGATCAAACCTGGGCCCCGTGATTTGGGAGCCTAGAGTCTTAACCCCTGAACCACCAGGAACGTCCTGACAGCCATTTTTGATCAATCTTAATTTATCTTTCCAGTGTTTCCTTTTGTAAATATAAGCATGTGCACAAGTGTGTGCACGCACGCACACACATACACACACTCTTATATTTCCTCTTGTTCTTACACAAAGGTAGGGTAGCATATAAACTCTCATATACCTCAGCTTTATTTCCCCACTTCATAAAATATCCTGGAAATTATTCCATGTCAAGTTTCTTAGCTGGGTAGGGTTCTTTTGGCTGGATGTATCATAGTTAATGGGTTTCCCAGGTGAGTGGTAAAGAACCTGTTTGCCAGTTCAAGAGACATAAGAGACTCAGGTTCAATCCCTGGGTCAGGAGGATCCGCTGGAGGAGGGCATGGCAACCCACTCCAGTACTCTTGCCTAGAGAATCCCACGGACAGAGGAGCCTGGAAGGCTTGCAACCAAGCACACATCATATTCACTAAGTCCTCTTTTGATGGACTTTTGGATCGTTTCCAAACTTTAGCTCTTACTGCGTTATGGGATATCATTTCTTATTTTGGCCATTGCATCTCTGGGGCAGATCTGTTCAAGTAGCATTGCTGGTTGTTCCCAACCAGAAGTGGCTTTGGGTTGTTACTGGAGACCAGTCACATAGGCAGCCTCTTCCTGCATGGACCAGAATTCCAGGCTCCCAGAAGGAAAGCAGGTGTTTGGCACAAATTGTATTGTTTACCCAGTTAAGGCACAGTCAGCCAGTATTGTCTGTTAAAGTGGTGGGAACGCTCCCAAAATCCAAGTTCCCAGACACCATGCCAATCTTGAAATAGCAGCATTTCAAAGGATACCAGTCAAGCCTGCTAGATTTTTTTTTTTTCCGCAAAGCACCATTTTCATTTCTTCAGCTATCCATCATGTATCTTGCTCATTTTTTTTTTAAACTAGGTTTGTAGTCTTCTTCCTAATTGCTCTTTTTATATTAGCAATTTGGACCTTCTGTGACATTGGTTGCAGATATTTTTTCCAGTTTGTCTTGTGCCTTGCTTATGGTATTTGCTTGTTGTTTGTGTTTTGAATCATAGCTTTCCCCACTCTAAGGTGAGAAGGGAACTCTACCATCTAGAACTTATATTTTTCATTTGTTTTCATTTAGATCCCTCATTTGTTTGAAGTTCATCCTTGCATATAAAGAATACAGATCCTGTTTTACTTTTCCAAATGACTGCTCAGAATGTGCTAACTTTATTTTTCACTCATCTTTTCCTTGTTCATTTGAAAAGCCAGCTTTTTATCAGATATATACTAAATTTCTACAGGCTTTGGGGCTTATTTCTAGACTTTTATTCTGTTCCCGTGGTCTGTCTATTTAAGTAGCACACTCAGAAACTTTATAACATGTTTTAGGACTAACGTCCCCCAGTCACAATGCCACATTACTCTTATTTTCAGAGTATTCTTGGCTCTTCTTGCTTGCTTATTTTTCTATGCGAACTTTAGAATGAATATATCCAATTCTAAGGGGAAAAATTAATTTTTGCAGGGATTATATTATATTTATAATTTCATGTTGTCAGAATTCTCATCTTTACCATGTTGAGTCCCACTGTTCAGTAATATAGCATGTCTTCCACTTAGTTACTTCCACTTTTTGTGTCTTCCAGCATTATATCCAGGTTCTCCTCATGTGAGATTTGCACCTTTCTTTTACATTTATGCTTTTTTTGGTGGGAAGGTGGGGGGCGATCAATCCATCCACTCACTTTTGAGAAAATCCTTAATGCTTACATGATAGATTTGATGTTGAAACCCGGCATGTGTTCATTGGTGACCAGTCAGGCCAAGTAACCATCCTCAAACTGGAGCAAGAAAACTGCACCCTGGTCACAACATTCAGAGGACACACAGGTGGGATTGAAAGCGGCCCCTCCAAGTGTTGCTCTCACCCTGACCTCTCCCCTGCCACGTGTTCTGATATTCACATGATGTGCTGCTGAGGTACACTCTGGACCTGTGTGATGGTAACACGTGATAGATGTAACTGATTGCAGCATGATTCAGTAAGATCGGGGGTCAGACATGTTCTCCATCAGTTCAAACAAAAGAGCAAACAGTCTGCTTCAGAAGTGGTGGTGATCTGGCTCTTGGTCATGTTATGCTGGAGAAAGCCGTGGTGGGCAAACATTAAATGAGATGTTGTTTGAGGCTGTGTGGCAACTGCATGACCCCTGGAAGGACAGCTGCCTCCGTCTGTCCTTGCCCTCCTTGGAGCAAGAAGATGGTGTCTGGGACAGACTTCTACGTCCAAGACAAGTGAAATGAAAAAGAGATTTCTCACTGGTAGCTAGCCTACATAAAAAAGGAACAAGTTCCTCTTTGATTTTCCTTACTCTGAAGCTCTTTTCAAGACCCCGTTTATGTTACTGGCCTGCTCAAGGTCATTTAAACAGGGTGATAAACTATATCCACACTTGGCCTTTGAAAGACTTGGGTAAACGATGACGATTAATTTTTTTCTTGTGTTTTTAACATGTGATATTGACCCTGGAAAATGAATCATTGCCTGTCCGTAGTTCTTAACAAGCTTTTGTGTCTTCTGCAGTTTACCAGCCCACCTATTCAGTATAGAACAGAGTTAATATGAGTCTAGATGTCTTCTAAGAACAAAAGTAGGTGAATGAGGATGTAAAATGGGATAGTACCGAGATCACAAGGGGTTTCCTGAAGGGAAAAAGAGGAATGCTGTAAAGAGAAGATTGAATCTAGGGGAAAGATTCATCAAAGATCATCTTAATTATCTGTGCCTTAGGGAGGAAGAACACACAGAAACTCCCCTGTGGGTAGAACCCAGGTCTCTTCTGATTGGATTTCTCTTTTTAGCCACCTTTTTAGCCTGACAGGGACCTGAAGCTGCCCCAGGTCGGGACTGTTGCCCTACTGGCCTCAGTCTCCTAATCCATGCCTCCGCTAAGGCCTTTCTCCACCTGCGCTTGCTCTTGTCCTGGTTGAGGAGTCCCGCTTTCGACCCCTCATTCCCCAGCGTCCTTGGCCCGTCTTTCCTTCCTTCCCCATCGTGTCAGCTGTGCATTGCCCAGCATTCTCAGCTCGGGACTCCTTGTCCCTCCTCCTTGGTAAATTTCACCTGGGGTTCAGACTCTGCGCCCGTCTCCTCGTGCACTCAGCTACGGGGTCTGCCGGGGGTCACGGTCTGAGCCTCTGCCCACTGTCTCCAGAGCCATCCCTCCAGCCCAGACCCAGGAGCCGCCTCACAGATCCCGGCTCCGTATGCAGGACACCCCTCCTCTCATCCCCTCAGCAGCTTTTTCAGACCTTCCCCACTCTCCCCAGACCTTCCTCAAAGAAAAACGAAGGTTATCAGATGGAAGCGTTCTTAAAATGTTTGGTTCTTGACCACCCCATCTTCCCTCCACAGTAAGCCAACTTCTCCTCCTCCACCTCCTCGTCTCTTGCCCTCCTGCCTCCTACTGTCCTTGGCCCCAGGCTCATCCTTCGCAGGTTAATCCTTCCGTCTCCCTTTTGACTAGTTCACTCTTTGCAAGTTACTAACATGGGAAGTTTTTTTTGCCTCTGGGGAAAAAAAAAACCTAACAAAACCCCTCTGATCTCATCTTAACAGCAATGCTGCTTTTTTATTTTTTTAAGTTGCAGTGAAATGTACACAACCTAAAATTGACTGTTTTGACCATTAACATTTTTTTTTACCTTTTTTGGTGGGGTGGGGAGGGGTTGTGCCATGCAGGATGCAGTTCTCTGACCAGGGGAATCACTGGGAAGTTCCCACTTTGACCATTTTTAAGTGTGCAGTTCAGTGACACTAGGTACCTTCACATTGTTGTGCAACCACCACCACCCAGAACATTCTTTTTGTAAAACAGAAACTGTGCCCATGAGATGCCAACTAACTCCCTGCCCCAGACCCTCCCCCCAGGCCTGGCAACCACCATTCTGCTGTCTGTCTCTCTGGATTCAGTGACTCTAGGCACCGCATATGAGGGGAAGCCTACAGTATTGGTTGCTTTGTGACTGGTCTGTTTCACTTAGCATGATACCTTCATGTTGTCATGGATTCTTAAAAGACTCATTTTCCCAGCTGCTTCACATTCTTCTCCCCCATTGGCTTTCCTGCCACCTGCAGTTTGGCTCGTCACTGTCACTCCAGTCACACTGCTGTCCCCGAGGTGACCAGTGGCCTGCTGGTTGCTGAATCCAGTGGACACGCTTTAAACTATGTCCTACTTAACCTCTCGGTAGCGTTTGACATTGTGGCCGTTCCTTCCTGCTGTGACTGCCCTCGTTCGGCTTCTGAAACTCATTCCCTCTCAGTTTGAAGCCTCTGACTGCACTCTCTCCTCTGCTTTGGGGTTGCTCTGGGGCATTCTGCCGGGACCTCCTGGGCTCTCCCTGGTCGACCCTGGCCACTGCTCCCAGTCACAGAACAAAAAGGCATGGTCGTCGTCCTCAAATTCCTCTCTACCCAGTGAGTGAGACTGAAGTTAAACAGTGAGTATAGTGCCTGGTGGCTGAGTTCGGGGAGCCACACCACGCATGTCCATGAATATGGAGCGGGCACCTCGCTGGCACGGGAGTGAGAGTTGGCCAGGGAAGGTCTCCCCAGGGGAGATGTGGCTTGGACCTAAGAGTGAGTGTTGAGTTCATGAAAGAGAAGGAAGGAGAACAGTGCAGGCAGAGCAAACCGGCAGAGCCCAAGGCCTGGGGATCTGCAAAAGCCTGGTTCTCTTGGGAACGCCTACTAACTCTTTTGGCTGGAACACAGAGTATGGGTGCGGGGGGGAGGGAGCGGGGAGAAGGAAGCCAGAAAGGAAATGAGAGTCAGTTCAGATCACTGAGAGGATTATCCTGACGTCAGGGAGAAGTGGTTTTAAGTGCAGAAGTTAACCTGGTTGGATGTGTTTTTTTGTATACTAATTTAAATAACATTATTCATAGTGTCCATAAAGTGAAACAACTCATGTGTTCATCAACTGATAAATGGAGAAACAGAACATAATATATCCATACAAGGGACTATTACTCAACAATACGAAGTATTTGTTGATATGTGCAATAAAATGGGTAAACCTTGAAAGTATTATGATAAGCCCAGAAGCTTTACCCCAAAGCAGTAGCTTCATTTTGCCTCTCCCCACTCCCCAGGCAAAGAAAACCGTTGATTTGTTCTTTGCCTACTCTGGAATTTTCATATAACCTGATTGGATGTTAAAAGATTGATCTGGCTGTAGAGAGTGATATGATGGAAAAGCTGGTAGGAAACTGTCCTTCACAGTGAGGCCGCAATGATGGGAGAGCAGGGAGTCGATGGACCCAAGGTAAAGTTTTAGGCAGTTAGCTCAGCAGGCATGGTGATGGGCTGGAGAGTTCGCAGGCTTCGTTTCAGCTGAGGTGGCTTTTAGCCCAAACTTCTGAACCTTTAGTAGTTAGATGTTGCCCAGAGCACTGATCTGAGGGCTCCAAGTTCAGTACTGCCTCCAGGTCAAAACCGAGGCAAGCAGCTGCTGCTCACTGTGAGATGAGCCAGGGGGTGGCCCACGGGCTTGTTTCACGTCTTCCACGGTGACTTCCCTGGTGGCTCAGATGGTAAAAGTGTCTGCCTACAATGCGGGAGACCTGGGTTCAATCCTTGGGTCGGGAAGATTTCCTGGAGAAGGAAATGGCAACCCACTCCAGTACTCTCGCCTGGAAAATCCCATGGATGGAGGAGCCTGGTAGGCTACAGTCCATGGGGTCGCAAAGAGACAAAACTGAGCAACTTCACTTTCACTTTTCTTTTCTTTCTTCCAAGTTAGTTCCATGGGCTTCCCAGGTAGCTCTAGTGATAAAGAACCTGCCTGCCAGTGCAAGAGACATAGAAGATGTGGGCTGGATCCTTGGGTCGGGAAGATCCCCTGGAATAGGAAATGACAGCCCGCTCCAGCATTCTTGCCTGAAGCACCTCATGGGCACAGGAGCCTCGAGGACTATAGTGGGGTCACAGAGAGTCGGACACAACTGAGAACCTTGATATTGTATCTTATCTCTCTGAAAGAGTGCAGAATATTTTCACATGATTTCACCATGAAGTATCTTAGAGGGAGACAGGACATGGCCCAGGAAGGTCGCTATCTAACCCAAAGGCAAATAAATTGAGCAGGTCACATTTCTTGTTGTTTACTCACTAAGTTGTGTCCGACTCTTCAACCCACTGGACTGTAGCCTGCCAGGCTCCTCTGTCCATAGGAATTCAGGCGAGAATACTGGATGCATTGCCATTTCCTTCTCCTTGGGATCTTCCTGACCCAGGGATCAAACCGATGTCTCCTGTATTGGCAGTCAGGTTCTTTACCTCTGAGCTACCAGGGAAACCCAGATCACATATCTAACTTATCGTTATTCCTGGACAGTAGTACCTACCCACTCTCTATCTCCTGTCTGGCTACAGCACTGCTGATTCATTTATAGGTAGTACAAGGGTGTCTGAGAGATTCCACGATGATTCGAGCATTGTGAAGCTCTTCCTATGTAGTAAGTCCATCTGGGCCTTGGGAGGTCCCAAACTCAGCCAGACACAATTGTGGACAAAGGGTCTAAGAAAGGAGAATTAGCTTAATCGCCTCATTCCCTTACCCCCCAAACAAAGACTTTAAGATGAGCCCAGATTCATTAAAGACTGATCTTGGGGATCTAATCAGTCCAGATTCAAACTCAGAAGCAGACAAGTCTTCAGTATGTGTACAGAGTCATAGCCATTCATCCATCACTCTCTGTTACAGTGCAGAAAGTCATAAAAAATGTGAGTTAGTGATGGAATCTGCCTAATAGCCATACCCGAAGGCCAAAACATGGCATTTACTAACCCATGGGGATTTAAGAAACTGATTTTTTATGTTCTT